ACCACATAATGATAAGATCAAATAGAAGAACAACTTTCGAAGTAAGAATGAGGGAAGTTGCAGGTGAAGAAGCAAATTGGAGATAGCAAGATTTCTTTCAATATTACGAAAGAAATGATTAATAAAAGGAATAATATTCAAATTGGTAACAGAGGATAAAGCCCAAAAGCCAGAAGTAAATTAGTACAATTAAAATTACATTTCCTTTCCAGCACAATCTTCAACTGTAGTAAAAATGGTTTGAAAAACAGTGGCTGCCTGGATCAACATGCCAATAAAAGCCATAAACTGAGGTTTCAACCTCCTAATCCAATCCATTATCCTCTTCTATTGTCCCAGAACACTGAATGCTAATATACATCCTCACCTTCACAGCTGTTGAAACCATCAACTACAAAGTAGTAATTCACAAGTGCTCACTTTACCAACCTAATTTGTCTCCACCCCTCACAACTTCAGCTAATCGAGAGCTTGAAGCACCAAGTGTCTCTCGTGCTAAATGGTACATATCCATCAACCCTTACATCATTCAGCTTTAGAGATAGCAGGAACTGCAGATGCTGGAGAATCTGAGATAACAAGGTGTAGAGCTGGATGAACACAGCAGGCCAAGCAGCATCAGAGGAGCAGGAAGGCTGACGTTTCGGGCCAAGACCCTTCTTCAGAAATGGGGGAGGGGAAGAGGGTTCTGAAATAAATAGGGAGAGAGGGGGAGGCGGATAGAAGATGGATAGAGGAGAAGATAGGTGGAGAGGAGACAGACAGGTCAAAGAGGCAGGGATGGAGCCAGTAAAGGTGAGTGTAGGTGGGGACGTAGGGAGGAGATAGGTCAGTCCAGGGAGGACGGACAGGTCAAGGGGGCGGGATGAGGTTAGGAGGTAGGAGATGGGGGTGGGGCTTGAGGTGGGAGGAGGGGATAGGTGGGAGGAAGGACAGGTTAGGGAGACGGGGACGAGCTGGACTGGTTTTGGGATGCGGTAGGGGGGAGGGGAGATTTTGAAGCTTGTGAAGTCCACATTGATACCATTGGGCTGCAGGGTTCCCAAGCGGAATATAAGTTGCTGTTCCTGCAACCTTCGGGTAGCATCGTTGTGGCACTGCAGGAGGCCCAGGATGGACATGTTGTCTGAGGAATGGGAGGGGGAGCTGAAATGGTTCGCGACTGGGAGGTGCAGTTGTTTAGTGCGAACTGAGCGTAGGTGCTCTGCAAAGCAGTCCCCAAGTCTCCGCTTGGTTTCCCCGATGTAAAGGAGGCTACAACTGGAACAGCGGATGCTGTATACCACATTAGCAGATGTGCAGGTGAACATCTGCTTGATGTGGAAAGTCTTCTTGGG